TCGGCTACGCGATTCAGTTCGCACGGTCTCCTCCCCGTTTCAGGGGAGTTCGCTCCACGATGGTCGGTGGCAATACCCCGGTCATGAGAGCGGAGATTGCGACCCTGCTGGCGAAGGGTGCAATCGAGACGGCCCCTCCAGCCGAGATGAGGCCCGGGTTACAGCCCCTACTCATTGTCCCCAAAGAGACCGGTGGGTTACGACAGATCCTGGACCTGCGCATTTTGAACTGTTCTCTCCATCGACTACCGTTCAAAATGCTCGCAGCCAAACGCATTCGTGAATGCGTTCAGTTTCAGAATTGGTCTGCAGCGATCGACCTGAAGGACGCGTACTTTCATGTCTCCTTTTTGCCTCGACGCAGACCGTTTCTTCGGTTTGCTTCGAGGGCCAGGCATATCAGTACACGGTTCTCCCATTCGGGTTAGCTCTGTCCCCTCGCGTCTTCACGAAGATCGTCGAGGCAGCCCTTGTTCCCCTTCGCGAGCACGGGGTTCGCATCCTGAACTTTCTCGACGACTGGCTGATACTGGCACACTCTCGAGCTCAGGTTTGCGAACACAGAGACCTGGTGCTCTGGCACCTAGCCCGTCTGGGCCTTCGGGTCAACAGGGAAAAGAGCAACTTTGCCCCGTGCAGAGGATCTCTTTTCTCGGCATGGAGATAGACTCGTTTGCCATGTCCGCGCAGCTCACGAACAAGCGCGCGCACTCACTGCTGACTTGTCTTCGACAGTTCGAGGGCAAGAGTGCGGTTCCACTGAAACTATTCAGAGGCTCCTGGGGCATATGGCATCCGTGGCCGCGGTGACGCCGCTCGGTTTGCTTCATATGAGACCGCTTCAGCTGTGGCTTGGCGATCGAGTCCCGAGGTGGGCATGGCATCGCGGTTCGCTCCGAGTTCCAGTGACTCCAGCGTGCCGCCGAACCTTCTTCCCGTGGTTGAACCCTAGCTTCTTACGGACCGGCATCCCTTCCGGCGGGTTTCCAGGCATCTCGTTGTCTCCACGGATGCATCTACCACGGGTCGGGGTGCCATGTGCAATGGGCATGCAGCCGCCGGTTCCTGGACAGGAGCCCAGCGCCTCATGCACATCAATTGCCTCGAGCTGCTGGCAGTACGGCTCGTCCTACACCGCTTCAGAGCGATGATCTCGGGCCAGCACGTGCTTGTCCGTTCAGACAACACTACGGCAGTAGCGTACATCAACCACCAGGGGGGTCTACGCTCGCGCCGGTTGTCGCAGCTCGCCCGCCACCTCTTGATATGGAGTCAGAAGCACCTGAGGTCCCTTCGTGCAGTATACATTCCTGGAGACCGGAACCTGGCAGCCGAAGAGCTGTCACGGGTCCGTCCCATCTCCGGCGAATGGCGACTCCATCCCCAGTCGGTCCAGCTGATTGGGACCAGTTCGGGGAGGCACAGATAGGTCTGTTCGCCTCTCAGGACTCGTCCCACTGCGCCCAGTTTTATTCCCTGACCGGGGGTACGCTCGGCTCAGATGCGCTGGCGCACAGCTGCCCACGGGGCCCACGCAAGTTGCGTTTCCCCCAGTGAGCCTCCTTGCACGGGTGTTGTACAAGATCAAGGAGGACGAGGAGCAGGTCTTGCTGGTAGCCCCCTACTGGCCCACCAAGACGTGGTTCTCCGAACTCATGCTCCTCGCGACAGCACCTCCTTGGCCTATTCCTCTGAGACAGGACCTACCCAGCTAACAATTTTTGGTTCCCAGAACGTTCTCAGAACGTTAGATTTTGGTTCCCAGAACGTTCTCAGAACGTTAGTTTTTGGTTCTCAGAACGTTACTTTTTGTGGTTTGTTTTTGGTTAGCTGGGAAAGTTTTCTTAACGTTCCCAGAACGTTAGATTTTGGTTCCCAGAACGTTCTCAGAACATTAGTTTTTGGTTCCCAGAAGAGTGGTTTTTGGTTCCCAGAACGTTCTCAGAACGTTAGTTTTTGGTTCTCAGAACGTTATTTTTTATGGTTTGTTTTTGGTTATCTGGGAAAGTTTTCTTAATGTTCTCAGAACGTTAGATTTTGGTTCCCAGAATGTTCTCAGAACATTAGTTTTTGGTTATCATAACGTTAGTTTTTGGTTACCAGAAAGTTAGTTTTTGGTTCCCAGAACATTATTTTTTTATGGTTTGTTTTTAGTTAGACAATAGTTTTCTTTATGTTCAACAACAATTCATCTTTTTTTTTTTACTTCAATAAAATACAACAGTAAATCTATATAAATAATAAACCTGTACAGTCCATGTTTTTGTCGATTCATTGTTTAATTGTTGATTAAAAACAGACAAAAAAAACACAATTATATAGGCCTATAGGCTGTGCATCACATTCAAAACAGGCAAAACGAAAAGGTGAAACGAAAACAATTGTAGATCCTGCACTTGAAAGCCTCATCCATCTTCATCCATCTTCACCACAGTCATCTGTAAGAATAACAAATAGTAACATTATTACAAAGAAAAGTAAAAAAAATATATATTCTTCAATCAGTCACTGCCATTTAAGTGAAATGACTGAACCTTAAAGGAACACTCCGACTTTTTGGGACTTTAGCCTATTCACCTCATCCCCCATAGTTAGATTGGTCCATACATACCTTTTTCATCTCCGTGCGTGCTATAAGTCTGTTTGACGCACCCACCGCTAGCCTAGCTTAGCACAAAGACTGGATGTGAATGGTTGCAGCTTTCATACTAATCCAAATGAGTGACAAAATAACGCAAACGTTTTCCTATTTACATGTTGTGGTTTGTATAATTATTTATAATTATTTATATTTATGTATAATATGTGTGCTAAACAAAAGTGTATATAGTTTCTCATTGATAATTGTCTTGAGATATTCACATTTATTCACATTTATAAACTTATTATTATAATCTCCTAAAGTCTTAGAATTTTTATGTTTTCAAGTTCATGATTATTTTTTATTTAATTTTGTAATACATGTTTATAAAAATACATGTTCACGGTTTTTATATGTAGATACATTTTTTTGCATACATTTAATTTATTGTAATGATTTTATATTCATACAATCAATTGTTTTAATTTTTTAAAATAATTACTATTCAGGTCAATGTGAACAATAAACAATGTCAGTTTCTCATGATATTTAATTAGTATATGATCATATATGTCCTATTTACATTTATTAAATTATTACAGGCTAATCTCTTTAGTTTTAGAATCTTTATCTTCATGGTTATCTTCATGGTTTCAAACTGCAATTTTGAATTTTTTTTATAAATATATTTAAAATATATGTGCATGGCTTTTCGTGGCATTAAAATTTTGTGCATACATTACATTTATTGTAGTAATCTTCATAAGATTCTTATGTTTTGGAAAAAATAAACAACATAGAAGATATTTTTTGTAGACTTATTTGTGTACAGGCATATCGGGATGTAGAGGTTAGGAGAACGTTCCGGGAACCTTTAGAGAACGTTCCCGAAATGTGAATAGATCACAATGTAGACTGAGGAATAAAAAGTCCTCAGTCTTCACTCATGTCGGTTTCACAAATGTAAACAGACACATAGGGATCACACTTGGATGTTGGATCGTCTGAATATTACCTTTCTGCTCGTCTCCTCAGATCTCTTAACTTTTGTGTCATGCAGACCTTGATCTCAGTGCCTCCGATGCCTGGGTGCCTCTTTTTGACATAGTCTGTAAGAAATGAGATTGATTACATTAAAATTTGAAAACAAGTTTGTCATGACGTGACATAACTGCCAGATTCAAACTGTGCTTTCCACGCTATGGCTGGCGCTGACAGATGCGCTCAGCGCTTGTCATATAATAACTATTGATAAAAGATATTCAGACATGCTTACCAATTATTAGCTGCACCTTTTGTAGGTCAAGGCTCTTTTTTCACCAACAACCCCTTTTTTTCCGTTCATGTTACCATCTCTTTGAAAGACAAGATGGAGTTCATAAGAGTTCTGGTTAACTTTTTGTAACCCTTACATCTTTGAGCATGATCCAAACCAACTGGGTTCATTAAGTCAGTCACAGACTTGTTCTGCAAAGCAAAAAATAAGATAGAAAATTTCCGTCAGGACAGAAACTGTGATCTTTTCAACGTTATTGCATATTAGATGAGGTTTTCACGTTGGAGCTGTGAGTGTAAATTTTAGCATACAAGTATTTATTGTTCATGCTCGAGTCTTGTTACTCTTTTACCTTCATAGGTATTCCAGAGTTTAGGGGTAAAATGCGAGAAATCTCCTTTAGTGGACTTTTATGCTGGGCACTACTCACTGATCTATAAACGACTTGATTGCTCACGACGTCATGTAAATTGAAGTCACCATATTCAATTGAATTAATAGGAAATTATTATCAATGTTAAAAACAGTTATGCTGATTAATGCGTTTGTGTAAACCATTGTAACAGTTTAAACCATTTTTTCCCCTCCAAGATTCATTGTTAAATAGACCACAAACATATGAAGGGTAGTTTACACTAATGTTCAAACATTTGGGGTCAATGATAGATTTAAAAATTAATAGAACAACAAAAGAAGAAATTTTTACTCAGCAAGGATGCATTACATTAACAAATATAATCAAATAAATGCTGTTATTTAAACCTTTCTATTCATCAAATAATCCTGAAAAACACAAAAATATGAAGCAGCACAACTGTTTTCAACACTGCTAATAATCATAAATGTTTTTTTATTTATTGCCCTTCTTCGGCTCACCTGTGTCCTAACGTTACTTCTCCGGCAGCAGCTTTCTTCAGAAATGTTGAAGTAGGAGCTTTCTCTCTGTTATGGGTTATTTCGTTACTACTGAAATCACAGAACATTTAATCAAAATGTGTTTAACGTTACCATTGATTGAGCTAACGTTAGTTTCGGCCAATTGCTCCTGAAAGTCCTGAAACATCACCGATACGTTACGTTTACGTTAAATAAATTAGCTCACTGTAAAACCCTTACAAAACCTCTCATTTACACATAAGAGGTGATTAAAATAAACTTTAATAAATAAAAGTTCAACCGAGTTAACGTGGATGTTAGTTAGCCTTGCTAACGTTAGCTGCTACCTCTTTAGCCTTGCTAAGTTACCTCTACGGACTTTTTCCGAAGACTACACCATGTCGATAAAGTACATTTTTAACAGAATTTGTCAATTACAAGTAGGAGAAATGTCGAAAACAGTTGTGAGTATTATTCGTGTGCTTTTAGAGAGTAATCTCACCTGAAAAAAGCCGTGAAAAGTTGAAACAACAGCGAGAGAGGGAGTTTTGTTGTTTACCAGTAGCAGTGGTCCCGTGCCGTTTCCATGGCAACTCTGCGCGCCGGCCGCTCCAGTGTTTGAGAGACTCGAAAGTTCACGTGCACGGCATTAATGATTAACCACGTCAAAATCATGCAGCACGTAAATATATACATACAATAAAGATGTCCTGAAAGTGCTTTGTAAATAGAATATGAAAGCAGTAGCCTATTGATTATATCAAATAACATTATTGTCGTTGAATATTCAACTGTAAACCTGGACTTTCACAGAGAGCTTTGGTTATTATATTAAACCTATAAATAACCTGCAGGGAACGTTCTGGAAAGGTTCTCTTTAGGTTACAAAATGAAACCTAAAAATAACCTGCAGGGAACGTTCTGGAAAGGTTCTCTTTAGGTTACAAAATTAAACCTAAAAATAACCAGCAGGGAACGTTCCCGGAACGTTCTCTTTAGGTTATAAAATTAAACCTAAAAATAACCTGCAGGGAACGTTCCCGGAACGTTCTCTTTAGGTTATAAAATTAAACCCAAAAATAACCTGCAGGGAACGTTCCCGGAACGTTCTCTTTAGGTTATAAAAATTAAACCTAAAAATAACCTGCAGGGAACGTTCTGGGAAGGTTCTCTTCAGGTTACAAAATTAAACCTAAAAATAACCTGCAGGGAACGTTCCCGTAACGTTCTCTTTAGGTTATAAAATTAAATCTAAAAATAACCTGCAGGGAACGTTCCCGGAACGTTCTCTTTAGGTTATAAAAATTAAACCTAAAAATAACCTGCAGGGAACGTTCTGGGAAGGTTCTCTTCAGGTTACAAAATTAAACCTAAAAATAACCTGCAGGGAACGTTCCCGGAACGTTCTCTTTAGGTTATAAAATTAAATCTAAAAATAACCTGCAGGGAACGTTCCCGGAACGTTCTCTTTAGGTTATTAAAAAAAAAAAACCTACAGAGAACGTTCTTAGAACGTTCTTTTTTGGTTCCCAAAAAAAATAACCAAATGGGAACCATATGGGAACGTTAGGGGAACGTTCTGTGTTTACTGGGTACTCTCTCAGAGACGGGGCACTCTGTGGCATCCTCGTCCCGATCTTTGGAGGCTGCACGTGTGGCTCCTGGATGGGACGAGGCAGGTTTGAGTTCGCTGCCACCTGTGGTGGCGGCAACCATCACTTCCGCAAGAGCGTTGTCCACGAGACACCTTTATGCGTTGAAGTGGAACCTCTTCGTCAATTGGTGTTCTTCTCGCGGAGAAGACCCCCGGAGATGTTCGAATGGTGTCGTGCTTTCCTTCCTGCAAGAAGGGTTGGAGCGCAGGCTGTCGCCCTCCACCCTTAAGGTTTACGTCGCGGCCATTGCCGCTTCTCATGAAGCAGTGGAAGGTAAGTTCTTAGGGAAGCACAACCTGTTCATCAGGTTCCTGAGGGGAGCGAGGAGGCTGCATCCGCCTCGTCCTCCCCTCGTACCCTCTTGGGACCTCTCGGTAGTTTTAAGTGCTCTGCAGAGGCATCCCTTTGAGCCTTTGCAATCGGTAGAGTTAAAGTTTCTGTCCATGAAGACAGCACTGCTGGTTGCATTGGCCTCCATCAAGAGGGTGGGGGACCTGCACGCATTCTCCGTTGACGAAGCGTGCCTGGAGTTCGGGCCGGCTTACTCTCACGTGATCCTGAGACCCCGGCCTGGATATGTGCCCAAGGTTCCCACCACTCCCTTCCGGGACCAGGTGGTGAACCTGCAAGCGCTGCCCCTGGAGGAGGCAGACCCAGCCTTGGCACTGCTCTGTCCGGTACATGCGCTCCGCACCTATGTCGACAGAACTCAGTGTTTCAGGACCTCAGACCAGCTCTTTGTCTGTTATGGGGGGAGCCAGAAGGGAAGGGCTCTCTCAAAGCAACGGCTGTCCCACTGGATAGTGGACGCCATTGCTTTGCCTTACCAGCAGCAAGGCCGTCCGTGCCCCCTTGGTGTGAGGGCCCATTCCACTCGGAGTGTGGCCTCCTCTTGGGCTTTAGCGCACGACGCCTCGCTAACAGACATCTGCAGAGCTGCAGGCTGGGCGACACCCAACACCTTCGCCAGATTCTATAATCTGCGAATTGAGCCAGTGTCCTCTCACGTTCTCGTTTCGGCCAGTTCTGGACCTGCTCACGTGTCTTCGCTTGCTCGCCACTCCACTCCCCGGACTGGATAAGTGCGATATTTCCTCAGTTCTTCCATTGAAGTCTTGAGTCCTCCAGCACCGACGATGCGGGCACCACTGCTGTGGCTCTGGATGCTGGCTAGGTGCCTCCATGCGTACGGTTCCCCCATGGTAACCGTCTCATGTGTATTATCCACTGTAAGCCTCTCTGAGCATGTGTCTTCCCTTGGCAAGCCATCTGCCATCCCTGGAGCTGAAATCTTAGCAGCCACCTGCGGTTGGTGCTCCAGTGACTCCATATGCGTTCCTTCGTGGCCATATGTGTATTCTTAAGTCCTCCCTTCGGTAGGCATCTGGTAACATGTCCCTCCCGGGATATGTTTCCCAGTGTACCTTGGTAATCCTGTGTCAAAGTAGAATCCCTAAAAAAGAGAGAGGAGGGGTCCAGACTTTCGCAGGGCACTGGAAGACAGCTTGAAGATGGCGTGATGGCACAGACCCCCAATCTCCGTCACTTCTGACGTAACTCGAAGTGACTACGTATGTAACCCTCGTTCCCTAAATAGGGAACGGAGACGTTACGTCTCCCTGCCACTTCTGCTGTATCGCTGGGTAGACGCCGAGTTCAGTCTTGGCTCCTGAGCGAAGACATACTGCGGTTGCGTTCACTTCCTCCTTTTATACTCACGGAGTAGGGCGGAGTACGCTATGCAAATTTCCGCAGCCCCAAGGCATTGCATGCCATTGGCTCGTTTTTAAATACTCGAAGAGGATTGGCTTTCTATGCGAAACCCCCAATCTCCGTCACTTCTGACGTAACGTCTCCGTTCCCTACTCAGGGAACGAGGGTTACATACGTAACCGAGACGTTTTATGTGTATACATAATACTGGGTTATGGCTTGTTCTTTCAGCTCAGGGTCTGGGTTGTAGGACAACCAGTTATTCAGGGTGTGGCGTTTTGCATGGAGTTCCCACTGCGTATAGCTACGCAATACGAAGTGACCGTTCGAAAGGGGACTACTTGGTTACGTAACACACATATCGTAACCTCAGTTCCCTGAGAGAGGGAACGAGTATTGCGTAGCTGGCCGCACAAGAGAAACTGGTAAAGTTGTCAATTCAGTCATATAAACCTGCTATAATGGCTAATTTGGGGGTCACCTGCGCCATTGGATGTGCAGTTGCTGCAGCACAGCCTATGAGTGCGTCTGACACTCAATGTGCTGGCTGTGCAGCTGCAAATGCGTTTTACAAAAGGCTTCAGTAAATCAAGGAAAAGGAGTTTTTCCGCTGCGTATAGCTACGTAACACTCGTTCCCTCTCTCAGGGAACTGAGGTTACGATAGTAACTGAGTAGTTATTCTCCCTTTCTCTCAATACTGACAAATGCTTCACTGCATTTGTTAAAATTAAAAATTTTGGAATTGGAGTTTTGCATTAAAAAACCAGTTTCAAGATATAAACTATTTTTTTGTTTATTTATTAATTCATTTTCCTTTTGGCTGTTGTACTGAATGTGTGAGATTTAATGTATTTGTGTGAAGAAATGTCTGACTCACTGAATTCAAGCTAACATGACAGGTGTGTCTGTTCATGCCTGTCATCTCTGATAAATTCAAATGCAATAATAGTTTTGGCATTTATTCCTGTGATCAGCACCTCCCTTTATTCACTGTAATCATCACTTAAGTCTGGTACACACTACAAAATGTATTCAGTTACACATTCTTATCTGACTCATAGTAAAATATACCTATTTTTAGGTACTATAATAATAATAATAATTAAAATAATAATACAATAAAAATGCTATTAATTTTCAAACAATTATACTTATGCATTTGGCAGACACTTTTATCCAAAGCAACTGCAATCAAGGTATACAACGAAACCAGTTGATAACTGGACTGGTTTTCTCTTCTATTAAGTTCATTTTTATTTGAACTTGTGCAAAGTTTTTTTTTTTTACCAGATAACTTAAAATAATATTTTTTTCAGACTCAAACCAAACTTTTATTTTATTTTATTATTATAATTTGTGTCACATCTCAGTTATTCTGTTGGTTAAACACAGGGCCCTCGATTCATTGAAATTATTATAACACTTAAGAATAAGGTACTTGACATTTTAGTGCAGTTGCCTCACAAACTTATAAACACAACCAAATCTAGGAAATGCATGTCACCTCCCAGCCTCTGGTTGTTTTGGTCAGTATTCATAGGGTCCTGCATTCATTGAAGGAATATATGTTTAACTTAGTATATCATGAAATATGCCTGACATTTAGTTTAGTTGTTGGCATGTGAAGCAGAAGAGGTATGAGCTTAGGAACTAAGAATAGACATGATCTACAGAGAGGAATGGTTTCCAGCTCTCCCTGCTCAAACACTTACCCAGCAGGCCAATCAGAGATACACATATGCATGGGATTTCAAGTGCTGAGTAAAATTGGGCTCAGTGTCCTCAACTGGGCTTTTAAGCCTGAACTTGACCCTTGATTCTGGATTTCTTCCAAAAGGTCATATGCTACCCAGTTTTGATAATATGTACAGTGTCATACTGAAAATAGGAATGTTCAAGTTTACTGATTAGGAAAAACTCCTTATTTAACCAATTACTGTACTTAACGTGCCCTTTTTGTGTTAAATGTACAATTTCCTCTCATTTATGGATTTTAGTAGTAACTGTTATGAACCACACAATAGACCCTCACAGCTGTGCCATCTTTGATTTTTTAATGGGAATGAAAGGCTGTGAGGGATAGACATAGAGTACATCTCAGAAATCTCAGTAGACTAAAAACTCCAGACAACATGAGCTGTGAAAAATTATATAGCTTCCTATAGTATATACCACTGAAAACGTGGTAAGTCTACCCCTCACAGTC